AACTCTGAAATGACAATGGATATTTATTGATCCCTTTTTGCAGACTGAAATGGAGAAATGTAAACTTCAACTGACTGTGATCTCTTGGGTGAGACTCTAGCTCAACATAGTAAACAATTGTTGTCTTCTGATGAACATTTTAGTACTACTACAGGCAGGTTTTCTTACTATTAATTCAAAAATTGCTACCAGCAGAGGACAAAGTGAAAATTCTAGAAAATGCCTCATTACTCACTTTCCTTCCTCAGTAAAAAGGTTTAATTTGAAAATATTATATTTTAGATGAAATTATGATTGTATCTTATATTTCATTCTATGTAATCATATAAACATTCAGTCTCTTGTGAAACTGATTTATTGACTCTGAAATTGCTCCTCAGTCTGTTCAATGAATGTAAATCATTGCTATTGAAGTAGCTAGAAATTAATCCAGAATAAGAGCACTCAAACTAAGGATGAAACCACTTCTCTAGGGACAAGTTGTTATCTGAAAGCAACTATGAACTAGTCTCTAATACTGCAACCAATTGTACAGAGTCTGAACATTATACCCTGTCATATTTTGGATAATTACAGCCAACGGAGGAATATCCCCTTTTTAACCATTTGGTACTACACTTACATTATTAATGATATTATCCAAAGTTTGAATTGATTAACACTCAGGTCAGTTTTTATATAAATATATATCAGAAATGAGCCATAGCTTTTCTTCTTCTTTTTAGGGAAAGAGCAAGGAAAAGGAAGATTGTAATACAAATTTGAATTCCAGAATGTAGTTAGCATAGCTATTGAACAACATAGCATAAGAACAACATAGCATAAAAAAGAGACAAAATTCAGATTTGAAAAAAATAGGAGGTACCACTTTTAGTTTTTTTTAAAGAGCTGGCATATTCAGAATAGAATAGAAAGGAAAAGGAAAAGAATAGAATAGAACAGAATATTCTTTATTAGCCATATGTGATTGGACACATAAGGAATTTGTCTCCGGTACATAATCTCTCAGTGTACACACAAACAACAAAGTATTATAATCACAACAATGAGACCAATAAGAGGGGGTAGTAGAGAAGATGAGAAATATAATAATACAGCCATACTACATGGGTAAATATCCTTAGACATAAAACAGTATCTTGGGAGTTAGGTATTTAGCAGAGTGATGGCACGAAGGATAAAATTGTGTGTAACTTATTTCTTAAATTAGGACATAGTGCACAATACTGATCAATGGATTATTATATTACTTGATTATTGTTTGGGAGATGAAGGTTATTAAAGTTCTTGCTGACAAATGAAATACTGAAGGTACCTATTGTAAGCTAGGAAACGCTTGTACATCCATTCATCATGTGTTCATTTGCGACACACATTTTAAATTGCTCCATTGTCCAAATTGATGCCATGCTTACTGAGCGCCATCAGCATTTAAAACAGACTTAAAATCCATTTTAATAGTTTAAGTAGATAGGCCAACTGTAGCAGACTGAATGTGTGTTAAATAAATAAAATGATATACTTAGAAATCCAATGGCAAAAAAAAAACAGAGGATTGTACTGATATCTTTGCTAGAGGAATGGAAACCACTGGAGGTGCTGATCCTGCCTGGCACATCCCAAAATAAGTCTGAAGATTTGGCATTGCTTCCAAGCAGATAGGAAGGAAACAAAGGGAAAACTCTCCTGGTCAAACAAAAATTTTGTCACAGTGTTCAGCCCAAAATTGAACTTCCTGCAAATATATGATTCTTTCATAATTTAATAATATTTTTTATGATCATACAAGGTTTACAAACAGGAGATAAGACTCTTCAAAAAGAGCTAAACCTCACTTAATTTTTGATGAATTCCCTATATTATTTGTGAATTGACAACTTCTAGCAGGCACTAGTTGTTCTTTAGTATAAAAGCCTCCTTTAAGTTGAGCTTGACTCGATAGTTTCATGTTCAAATAGTATTCTTAGCAACAAGCCCAATTATCTTGGTCCAGGATGCAGCTTTGACTTCTCAGTGTAGCTGACAGTCTCCTATTTAAAGTCTAGCTAGTCCCAACTCCATTTAGTTTTCCAACCCAGACAAAGTCCGCCAGATGCTATTACTATTTATGGCCTCTATAATGCAGGTTGTTGCTAACTCATCCAAAGGGAGAGGAATGCTCAAGTGCAGCTAACAAATGCTCCAGTCTTATTTTAGAAGAGCCGACCTGATTGTTGTGGCACTTCTTCTTCTAAGGTCTCCTTTCTTCTTCCGAATTAACTCTAGGGAATAACATCATGTTGGACTTTCCAGACAGATTATGTGAAACCATAGCTCAATGTCATTCCCAATAGCCAAGCTTATAATTAAAGGTCAAATAGTCACTTCATCTGCAATCAATCAGTAGAAGAAGTTCTAATATCAAGAACCAATCAATCAATGGCAAATACACTAATAAAAGCCATGAATCAAATGCCTGTATTTCATGTATTGCATGTAAGGTGCATGTACTGTATGTTACAAAAAGTGGAAAGCAAAGCAAAATGAGAATAAATAAGCCTGGGGGAATCTCCAGAGAGGTATAACATTTATCTTCACTTATTAGCGCTTATATCTTTAATTATGTAATAAAATTAAATAACAAATAAAAGTGATATCACAGGCAGCAGTTAGGCAGCCTCATAAAAATCCACAGACTATTTCTATTAATGGTATCAATCAAAACGGAATTAATAGATTGAATAGCAGTTTCCTGTGAACTTGATATTCTCCAGACATTTTCAGAATTCAATTCCAGAGTTGTCTGGGAATTCTGGGAACTGAAGTCCCAAAACTTTATATCCCACTATGGTAGGCAGCAAGTTGAAGAAGATTGAACAATGGTAAGAACTTCTGTAAAGGTTAAATATGAAAAAGGAGAAGGGTAGAAACAGTTCTCGATCCTAACACATTCATCCCTTTGTGTCCTGAGCTCACATAGCTATAAAGTACTAATAAAATACTGTCTCCGCCCTGCCCCCGCCCCCCCCCCCCAATCCACCAGCATATGGGAGGGAGCAGTGCTTTTCTCTGTATGAAGCAAGAACTTTTCCATGGATCCAAACAGAGGAAGTGGCAGATGGCCTCTTGAGCATTTTGCATACGGGAATTCACTGGTTTTAATACAGGGAAAGAGAACTGTCTTACAAGAGCCTTCTCAAGCTTCTCTTATCACCACTTCTAAAGCTTCAAAGCTGTCATTTCCCCCCCTCCTTTGCTGGCGCTGTGCTATAATCCCCAGGGAATTGAAACATGGCACCCTGCGGAGGCTTCACATGCCAGAATGTTAAAAATCAGTTTAAACTCCAAGTGAAAGAGCTTTTGTGGCAGGAAGCCCCTAAGTGCTCTTGTTTGCTTAGTGATGGTAAAGTTTTGAAGGCAGATTAAAACCTCTTCACAGAGAACTTAAAAGAAAGCCCTGTAGTTCACAGAGGACCTTAAATATTCAGTCGCAGGTATTAAATGGGATCTTGCTTGCATCTCCCGAAACCTGCTCGGGTAAATTATAATGGAGTATCTCAATATAAAAGGAAAACGGCATCAAAAGTCCTAATTTCACTGGGAGGAAATCTTGCGATCAGATTACAGATGTACTTCTATTATTCAAGAAAAATTTGGCTCTGCACAAAAACTTCGTTTTAATGTCAGCCACCACCAAAAAAGGGTTTTCTTGCCTGGTAACCTTATGCTTTATTCAAGGTCAGACTTTTTGGGAAAAGAGAAGACGTTAGCAGGCATGCAATTCTCCCTGCACTTTTCTGGCATTTTACCATGATGTGAAATCTTGAAAAACACACTCCATCATTATTGACATCCACATTTGAAAGCAAATAACTTACCTATGCTTTTATAATTCACCCTAAAATTTGAAGACTATGGCCTGCAGGAAAGTCTGATCAAAAGTATCTCTTTTACTTAAAAGACAAATATAGTTCAAAGTATTGTACATCAATGACTCATAATAATCTTAAATTAAAATCCAATCTGCAATTATTGGAACTGATTTTGTTGTTTTAACTCGCTCATAATTTTAATGAATTTCTCCTAGTCCTTCCATATAAAAATAAAATATTAAATTGATGAACAGGGAAAAAAATAAAAATGCCTTAAGCCAGCCTTATCGGTAACAAGTGGCAATACCTTATTCTGTTGCTGAACCTAAAGCCATAAAGGTAGGGTAGGTAGGTAGGTAGATAGATAGATAGATAACCAGTAGGCAGACATATAGACACAGATAGATTCAATTATGTCATCATGGCATTTCTGTTTCCATATGCAAGCAGATGTGACAAACATATATGAATTTTAAATTGTCTATTTGTTCCTTTTTAATAAACATAAATTACAAGATTTAAATGGAACATATAGCACTGCCTCCCTACAAAATTGCAATCATATTTTAACTAAACTTTATATCTACGAGCGTAAGTATAAGGACAGAATTCTGAATGACTAGAAGGTCAATGTTTTCAGAATACTAATTTGTAATTGAATAAATGCACAGTTCTGAAATTTCTCAGGATAAAAACCTGTTTTTTAATGAAACATTCTACCAAATGTTTTTCTTTATATAGCAAATACTTTGTGCATTGCAATTTTGAGCTACAATATTTTTTGCTATTTAATTGTATTGAAATTTGTCAAATAATAATTTGAAACAAATCAACTGTTTCAATATTAGATTATAGATATAGAACATGAGAAACAAGGAAATAGCTTTTTCAAAAGAAAGTACAGATTAATAGCACAGTAAAACAATTACTGTATTAAACTCCCAAAGGAGAAAGCCACATTGTCTTCCTCTTAGAAAACCTACATTTGCACGCTGCAGAAATTATACTAATATTAATGCTATATTTTTATATAAACTTTTATATTGCATCAAATCTCTGAGTCAATAATAGTAGTATACGTAAGTGCTTTTATAACAAAGCCCATGTAGGAGCAATGTAGTCAGACAATTGTTGAAAATAAAGACTTACCTAAGGTTAGAGATTTGTGTGTGGAACAGAAAATAATAGCCACTGTGTCTGCTGGTGTAAAGCCAGAACTCTTTCTAGGAAAAAATGTGACAAAAATTTAATATCTCTTCCACCAAATGTTTACTAACATTTATTTTAAAGACATTATTGTTTTCAATTTTAATTCAGCTTTGCTGACTTTATTACACTCACATATACTTAGCATTTGCATTTTTAAATTTAAGTCAGACATGCACAACTTCCCCTTGCTGACTTGAGGTCTGTTGGAAGGTGTTGGTTATAAAGTCACCTTTGCTCACATGGAAGATATATTAGATTATATTATATTAGATAGATAGATAGATAGATAGATAGATAGATAGATAGATAGATGATGGAGATAGACAGACAGTTGTATACAAATAAAATAAATTTCTTTGAGAGTCATGCTAAACTTTGTACACCAGGTCAAAAGTTACAGTCTGAAAATGTGTGTGACCAAACTGTTTGGAAAAAGCTTTCGAGAATAAATTGTATCCATTTCTTCTTTTCAAAAAATATGTTTCCTCAGAACTAAAATGTTTAAACATTCTTTGGCATTTTACTAGGTCACAGTAAATTGATTTCCAAATTTGCTTTATTCTGATTACTTATAACTTATTATTCTTTCTTTTTCTGGAGCAAATTCAAAGATGAAATTACAAAAATAACATCTCTTAAAAATCATTTTCTTCAAAGAGAAGCCATAAATCTTAACCACAGCATATAAAGAAATATTTTCAATCAAGGATAGACTCTAGAAATTAAAAGCGCAAGAAAAAAGTGGAAAATATAATAAGATTCGAAAAGTTTCCATTGGGTGCTTGTTTTAAACTTAAAATAGTAGGTGTAGTTTTAGAATTATGCCTTCCATCTGCTTTATCTTCTGGTTCTTCCTATTCTTTCAGTTCTGAGGGATAGAAATTTGAAGGATTTGCTGACTAACCTCTCACAAAAGCAACAGCATCCATACCCAGGAGAATTTTAATTTCTGTAGGCTTAATCCAAACGAGGCAGAAAGCCAAATAAATTCACAATTTCTATATAAGCAGAACAACATTTCTCCAATTCAATTTGAAGTTTGCCTAATATAATATTCACATACTTCTACTCTGAACTTGTTTCATCCAATTAGCTTGCAGTCACTTTTTCCATCTGGATAAAACTGAATTGTGTCTTCTTACTGTTCCTCTTTTATTGGGAAATATGATTTCTGCACAATTATTGGTGTTCTTAGCTTCTTTGTGAATCTGCTGAAGTTTATTCTCCCCAGGCCCTGGACGGACATTCAGGGACAGAATTTGAAATCAAAAATAGATTTCTTGGAGCCTAAGCATTCAAGCTAATATTCAAAATAAATGCTTGCAAAAAAGGCAAATTCTTCTGGAATAGCAGTTTGGAGCTTGTTCTTCTGCTCACCCAGCAACAGTTACACTAAGCCAGGGGTGTCCAACCTTGGCAACTTTAAGCCTGGAGGACTTCAACTCCCAGAATTCCCCAGCCAG